TGGGGTCTGGGGTCTCAGGGGCCTTACCTATCTGAGATTCATTGCTGCTCCTCTGACTCAGGCACCGGCACCCTGTGGAGGCTAAAAGGTCAAATGTGAATCTTGCTATTTAGACTTAGGTTTTAAAAGTAGCCCTGCGGACTGATGCACACATAAACTCACAGAGCCTGTGGAAGCATGAGCAAGACCTGCACAGGTTCAAGCAAGTCAGATGCAGTCCCAGCACTGAGGGGGGTAAGTGGACACACACTCACCCCTAACCAAAAAGCCGTCTACAACTGAGAACCACTGGCACAGGAGAAATCAGTTTTCTCCAATGCAACTCAATGGGTATATCAACCACACTTCGGGAAAGTCCCAGGAGTGGTTTCCCAACACAAAGTGAAATCCGTGGACTTTTATTTTGTAGACTTTTGGTTTCATTTTACTTGATTTCTTTGTTTTATTTTGTTTTTTTGGTTTTTTTTTTTTTTTGTCTTATTGATTTTTGCTTGTTTGTTTTGCTTTTCATTTTGTGATTGTTTTTTTTTTTTTTTTGTCTTATTGATTTTTGCTTGTTTGTTTTGCTTTTCATTTTGTGAGGTTTTCTTTTCTTTTTTTTAAGAGAAAACATAAGAGTTGGGTAAAGAGACAGTCAGGAGGGTCTGGGAGGAGTAAAGAGAGGGGAAACTGGATCAAAATATATTGTATGGAAAAATGATTTTTTAATTAAAAAAATGTAACCCTGGTAATGCTGGGAGGAAAATCATCAGGCAGAAACTAAAATTGGGGCCATTTACACTGTGAGGTACCTAGATGGCATCTTTAGGAAACTGCCTGGTTTTCTTTCCAGGTTCTGGGGCTCAAACATACCTCAGTTCTTTAGAACACACCCTGATGTTGGGTCTGAAGGGAGAGTAGTAACCCCAATTTCTTCTTCTTTATAAAAATGTTATTAGTGGGGCTGGGGGTTTAGCAAGCGCCAGGCCCTGGGTTCAGTCCTCAGCTCTGGAAAAAAAAATGTTATTATTAAATTAACTTGCAAATAAATTTTAAAAATCACATTAATAACCCTAATTTCTAACAAGGTACCCCTCTGCAGAGAAAAGGGCCCAAGACATCTTCAAGGTACTCAAAGTACAAGTGTAGAAAGGGCTGTCTCACCTTTGCATCGGGCATCCTTGCTGGGTGTCTTCCAGGGACTTGAAGAAGAACTTTTAAAAGGCATGTCTCGCTTTTCAAAAGAACCTCCAGACCCTGAGACCAATAATTAAGGGCAGAAGCACTGGGCCAGCTTTGGAGAGAGAAAGAATCACCAACCTGACATTCTGGGGAAACAGACAAATGTGGCCAATCTCAGGAACGCTTACCAGAGGAGGCAGGGACAGGACAGGGGTTTCTGGGGGGTGGGCACATGGGATATTCTCTCACACTGTGTGAATACATGTTGCTGTGATTGGTTAAATAAAGAAGCTGACTGGCCAAAAGCTGAACAGGATAAGGCTAGACAGGAGAGCCAGACTGAGAACGCTGGGAGGATGAAGGGCAGAGTCAGGAGTCACAAGCAGACTCAGAGAGAAGCAAGTTGGGCATGCCAAACTGAGAAAAGGTACCAAATCATGTGGCAAAGCATGGATAAGAAGTATGGGTTAATTTAAATGTAAGGGTTAGCTAGTAAGTCTGGCTGAACATTTACAATTAAGACTGTGTTGGTTGTTTGGGAACTGGCGGGCAGGAAAGAAAAAACTGCCTCCATGGGCAGATGTGGCCAGCAGCAGCTGCTGCTTGGTGAGCACTGGGAACACGAACCAAGCAAAGGGAAAGAAAACAGTCCTTTCTCCTATCCTGGCTAAGTGGTGGGGCCACCCTGTCCCAGTCTCTCAGATCTCACAAGGCAGTGCCTTGGCCAGAGAGTCTCGGTTGCCAGCGAAAGGACCTTCCTGGAAAAGAAAGCCCAGAACAGTGGCCCACACCTGATTTTGGGTGAATGCTGTGAGGCAAACTGTGTCCTCTGAGTGAACTTTTATGAATAACATCTTTTTGTTTTGTTTTTTTTTGTTTTGTTTTTCGAGGCAGGGTTTCTCTGTGTAGCTTTGCGCCTTTCCTGGAACTCGCTTAGTTGTCCAGGCTGGCCTCGAACTCACAGAGATCCGCCTGCCTCTGCCTCCCGAGTGCTGGGATTAAAGGCGTCGCCACCACCGCCCAGGGTGAACTTTTAGAGAGACTATCCTATCTGCCATTTTACGCCTGTGCATAATTGGGCACGCACAGGATTAAAATCAGATGCATTGTGGGAAAGGACAAGCACAGTAGGGAAAACGAATGTATGACTTAAACTATCAATTAAAACAGAGAACAAGCCCATCTATGCCTGTTAGGAGCAGACCCTTTTAGACCCCAGGAAAAGAGAGCCCAGACCGTAGCCCAGGGCCTGTGAGTACGCTCACTGCTGTGGCCACTGTCAAGACTGACAGCGTAACCCCCTATGATCTGTGCTGTTACCTCACTCGGAAAAGTACCTTGGTTTCTTTAGCAAGTCTGTATGAACCCGGATATTCTACTCTTTAGATTAGAGGCCAAGACCCAAACGCGCAGTGTGTCTGGTGGGTCAAGGCAGAGGTCTCTGTGGCAGTGGTCAAGCTGAGCTTGGGGGAACGGCACCAACCATGCGGAACCCAGAAATTCCCCCGTCATCGCACTTTTGAGTGCGCACCCTTTTAGACAGATGTCATGGTGCAACTGAGGCAGGAGCACATTCTAGAATTCTCTGTTTTAGTCTCATTTTTATCATCAACTGGTTCTAGGACCCAGGACAAAGGATCTGTATGACTGAGTTCCTACCCCTTTCCTCCCTCTCTCCTCCCTCTCTCCTCCCTCCTTCCTTCCCTCCCTCTCTGCCTCTCTCCCTGTCCTCCCTGCCCCTTCCCTATCTTACTACACAGCCTGTCCTGGAATTCCCTATGTTGTAGCCCAGCCTGGCCTTGAACTCATGATACTTCTGCCCCACACTCCTGAGTGCTGGGATTACAAGTGTGACCCGCCATGCCTGGCTTGGTTTTATCGAAGCTGAGACATTATGAACCCTTTTCTATTCCCTCCCCCTCCCCATATCTCTCTCCTTGATCACTGTGACAGCCCTTAATATCACTAGCACTCCAGGAGCCCCAATAACATGCCAAACAGAGTTTGAAAACTGCCCACCTCAGTGCTCTTCAAGATACCATTGAGATGTGAAGTAGTAGCCTGGAGTACAGGAAGATCATGCAGGTTTCTCACTACAGGTGGATGCAGAAGACAATAGAGTTATGACATCATGTTGTCATGGGCACGCAACACCTGCCCAATGCCCTTCTATAGTGTCTTCCTGAACATTTCAACTAGAGAATTAAAACTACATTTCCCAGATCCTTTGCAGCTATAATTCTATATGACCCCGGTCCACGAAGCCAAGATCCCACATAAGGCCTGGAAGGGGAAAAGAAAGTCATGTGGCCCAGGGCCCTACCAGTGGGAAGATTTCTCTTTAATTTGGGAGAGGGCCACCACTGTGTTCTAGTCAACTGATTGGATGAGGGCCACCCCAATGACAGAGGACAAACTGCCTCAGTCTAGGGATTTAAATGTTAACCTCACCTAAAAACAACCTCACAGAAACACCTGGAAATGATGTTTTCCCAGGTGTCAGGGCACCCCATGACCCAGCCAAGTTGTAGAAAATTAACCTTCTAGGTCTTTCGAGAGAAGGGGGTCTCCCTGCAGCTGCTGAAGATGTATGGCCTACGGGATCACCATGCAGCCACAGGGCCAGAGAGGCTTCATGTTGCAGGAGCTCTCCTGGCTGCCAGCAGGTCAAGGGAGTAGCTACTCTTTCGCAAAGTATCCAGACTTGAGACTAAGTTTGAAATCTGGGGTTTCTGAGAGCAAACTATAAGTTCTCCTCCTCAGTACGCTCTCCAGCCAGCATCTGTTCTTTGGGGACAGTGGGGAAAGATTCAAAATAGTTTCTGTTCTCATCACTCTGACATCCTGCTCAGGTGGTGTGATGGCCCAGTTCAGGGTACATCACCCATCCCAGACCACTTATGTTATTAATACCCATTTGTCCCCATTATGATACATTTCTGCTCGCAGGTGCTAGCCTCTTCACGAATGCTGTCGTTCTCTGGACAGTTGCTGTTGATGTCACCTGAAAACATCAGTGTGACAATGAACTTCCTCCCTCTGGCTGTCGACCTTGAGCACGGTACCCCACCGGCCCCACCGGCCTTCAGAAATAACAAGACTTCTCACCTCCCCAGGCCTTTCAGGACAGTCCAGTCTCATTTTCCAGCAATTTCCAGGAAAGCAGGCCAGCTGAGCCTCCTCAAATTAACCAATTATTGAAAATAATGCATTTGCTTCTGTGGATGTTGTCATATATATTTTTCAGTTACCAACAAGAAAAAAATATCAACTTCCACAGGAGAAATTGCCAAATTCCACAAAATGTGTTCAATCATTTCATCATATTAAGTAGAAAATGGCATCTTCTAACAGGAGCCGCAGGAGGCAGTTTCACGGATTAAACCATTCTCTGTGGAAGAAAGGTTCTCCCCGGAGAACGAATAAATTCAACCAGGCGTGAAGTTTTTAAGGTCCTGCTTGAAATTTTAAGGAATGCCACTTCACTACATATATACAATTTTAATTCTCTAAAGTGAAAACTTATAAATTCTGAAAACTCAGATTATAAAACCGTGGCCTCTTTCTTACATGCAGCCATAAAATGACTTTCAAAGTGTCTCATGATTTTTCAAAGCCAGGCTATCCAATGACTGTCTCAAAGGGCCACACCTGGCTGAGTAAATGGATTAACTGAGTTTAGCGTTTAGTTACTCTTCTGACTGTTAAAGTTCCGTTTGTCTGGCTCTTG